AGGTGCTAATCCCAGCTCTGATGCTGGGTGACTGTAACCCTGGGCAAGTCACTTTGCTTCGCGGTTCCCTGTCAGTAAAGAACAGGGGGTTGATACTTGTAATGCTTCTGTCATGTGAAATGTAAGGATTAGAAGAGCTAGCGTGTGTCCAGAGCATCCAAGATGTGAGAGCTAAGTGGTCTTACAGAGTCTTTTGTCCCAATATAGCTCCTCTCTGTATTATCACAGCAGGTAGTGTGCATCCTGCCAGCCAGAGGCTGGATCTTTCCTTTCCCTGAACCTCCTTGCAATGGATATTACAGAGCAGGGCTTCCTACGCTTTTACAGTGGGAAGACTGATGCTGTCAATCTTACGTAGACAGGATTTTTTAAAAAGCTTCATTCAGCAGTAAGTTACTTTTCATCTCCAAATGTAATAGGAGACTAGTTCTGGTTACTGTTCTGGGATTTTTAGAATTCACTTGCTTGCCTAGAGTAAATGGGAAAAGTAGTACTACAGTGAGATGAGAACCTGTCATATCTCAAAAAGATAAAAGGGAAGGGGAAACTCGGGAAAATACTTTTTAGTGTTTTTCTCCCCTACAGGCTATGTGTTATTTACCTTCTCCTAGATCCTCCAAGAGCTGGCATTGGCATACTTCCAATCCTATAGCACTTTGCTAAAGTAAAGGATTTTCGACGCTGGTGTGGATTCAGGAGATCTGAATTCTCTTCTGTGCCACAGATTCAGGAAAGATGTAGTGTCTGTATGCCTTATTTACCAGCCTCTGGAATAATCCTCTTTATTTCCTTTGCTTTTTTTGTTTGACTTTTCAGAATGTGTATTCTCTTATTTTACAAAGCCACTCAGACACACTCACATGTACACAGATAGATGGATAGATACAGATATACCACATTTAGTGGGGATTGTGTAAGCTGTACAGTGATAGCTATAACCAGTGCAACATTTGGAAATGTTTAAACCCCTCTTGTTGGCCTGTTTGGAAGTAACGTGCGTACTACTACTGTGCCATGTAATGCGCCAGCAGAACATTGGCTTGAACAGAGATGGAGGCAGGTGCTGAATTATGCCCTTGTTTAGTCGAAAATCTCCTAGTTGGGGGCTATCCTAAAAAAAACCTCATCGTACTGGAGGGAATAGGGTTGGCAGGTGACCAGCTGCAAATCCAACCTCAGGAATCCTAGCTGCAACATAACGACTTAGTACGTATAGAATGATCCTTGCAGCGTTTATTTCTTGCACTTGACCACTGGGGAATGTGTTTGTCGTCCTTCTCACTCCTGTCACGTTGGGGGCTTTGTCAGATCAGAATACATCGTTGCTGTGCTTCTCTGTGTCCCTTGACTTGTCATAGGCACAAATCTTTTTCAAATGTTCTTCCCTGTTCATTTCCATTATTATATCTGGTGCTTCTAGGTGGCAAGCAAAAATGAATAACCTTGTAAATGCTCCCTGTCTTTCAATTTGTTTTATTTTTCATACAACGTGTCAGTGCATTTTTGTTGAGTGTTTTTAATAAGATGAAGTTGATGAAAATAAATTGCTTTGCAGTTCCTGCTGTGGGTGACAGAAATGCTGGGTCTGTAATTTTCCAAAACTCTGCATTTGAAACCAGTGTGGAGGGTGTTCTGTATGCCTGTAACTGCAATCATCTTTGTAAAACACCTCGCAGGAAAAGAAAGCAGCTATCAATTTGAATTTAGGGGGCAAGATGCACTGCTGTCTCCAGCTTCTGCTGGGCACAGTGAGAGAAGGAGCTGTCAAGGAGAATTTTAGGATTGATTCTGTGCCAGGCTTGGGTCTGCCATATGGGATAGTTAGCCAGATCTGTCTGTAGTATGAGAGAGAGAATGAATTATATAGCAAACCGTCTTACCAGAGTGTCTGTTAGCCAAGGCTTGGAAAGTGAGGATTGGGATGTGAAAATGTAGGTACTAGTGGCTACTGCATATCAGCTTTCTTCTGAGCGGT